AGCAATTTATCCACTCCAAATAGACATACGCAAACATTAGTTGTAAACTTCTTGTCAATTGCTATCAACAGTTCAGCAGCCTAGGAAAAATAATCGTTCCCAGATTTAATCATGTATTACCTCGTTCTTTTGCAATTAGTGTTCAATGGAACGACTTCCAAATTTATGAATAATAAGTTTTCATGTCAGGATTTTCGTGGTATTGAGATTTTTAAGAAGGTTTCAATTCTTGAAAATTGGCAACCCATGTGCCAAATCTTATACAACAAACATGGTTCGCAAATGAATGAGAATATATATGAAAAAAACGTTGAAGAAAACGAACAGGAAAATAAAGAATACAATCTGAATGATAACATAATGATCTGATCCTCTCCTAAGCATAATAAGGTAATACGTAAATACAACTGTGAGAATCAGTCTACCAGTATTTTGGGAATAATGCACCCAATACTGCTATGTGCACAAATCACTAACCGATATACCACCCAATTCTCATCAATTACATGTGTGTGTTTATCATTAAGTAACTGGATGACTTGAAACACTTCTGAATCAGTAATTCAGTAATTTAAAAATAGAAAGGTTCTTACTCTGCCATAGTGGGTATGCTTCCATTCACAAACATCTCTAGCCACGACACCATATAATTTGTAAATAATGGCTCCAATAAATATGCATTCTGGAATAAAGAAGTGTTAAACAAATAAATATTTATCTTCTATGTCACGAATTAGCGAATTTGTTGTTCCTTAAGTGCGTACTTGATACAAAATCATTCATAAATATAAACAAAATAGTATACACTAAAACTAAAGGATTATGGATAAATGTTTGTATAGCATTTGCAAACTAATAGATTCAGAACCTGCTGTCGGTGTCAATCACTTTTGTTTTGAATTTCGACGATGCACGTTGACATATGATTGGGTTATCGTAAATACATGTATAGATGAATAGACATGTTAGGATTTTCTTCGTTTATAAACTTGCACGCTCTGGTGTAACAACGTTTCAATTTCGGGAGAGGGGGGTATTGTTTGCTACGTAAACATCCGATAGCTAAACAGAACGCCGGGAACCGGGGGGGGGGGGGCAGCGGACAAATTACGCGAATTGGAAATTTACCCCCTCCCCATTTCTCACACGAATACCGGCTGATGACACTATAAAACGAAACTTGTCTATTGAAGACTATGCTAGGATTTTTACCTCTATGTCTTCTATATCACTCATCATTATTGATTCAGGGTAAGCAGTATAGAATGTGGTTTTGGTTCCGACATCGTCTTCGTATCCTTTGAGATGTGCGCGATTTGTCCTGTTTACATGAATCATTAATTGGTTACATGATTGTTTCTTATAAGAATGTCCCAAAAATGTACGTATAATTGCTTACTGCACATAGTCATTCGTCAACTTTCTAATTACATTTGGCAAAACTGTAAGCCAAACATTTTTTCCCAATTGCATTAACATATTTCACAATATATGAACAGTATAACAGTCAATGTCTTTAAAATTTACTCCATCGTAAATATAAGTTTCTTTGAGTCATACCTGAACACAACATCATAGCTATCGATTTCTCTTCCTTGTTTTGATCCTTTTAAAACACCACCCGTTCCCACAACGGCACACTTGATACACGTTCCAGGTGATCGTGTTAGGACTGGGGTTGATGTATAATTATCGTTATTCACCAAATGAATTAGTCCTGCATAAACATGCATTATTACACTGTGAATTCTCATATAAACATAAGATAAACAAATCAACCAATGCATATTCATACAAAAAGTCATAATATAAATATTTGCGACATTTACAATGTTCGACTGATTTGGTAGTGTTATTGCTAGGATTTTGACGTGTTTTTGTCTTGTGATGTAAATATTGTCATTTTTAAAATGATAAGGTTTTTAACAATGTATATAAGTGGTATTGTAAAATAATGTTGCTTAAAAAGGGCAATGTAGTTTTAATTAATGCAGCTGCATAAGGCGGCATAGATACATTGCTATGAGGTTATTACGAGGATACCTCAAAGTATGCACGAAAACAGTACAGCGGGAGTGCGACCATGTACTGTCTATTATTATACATCTTTTCCTTCCAATGATACATCATGGGAATGCCGAAATCCAAAATGTTTAAAACAGAATCAGTGAACTTCTTTGTTTGTTTGGCTATTCCTCTGTACTATACTATATGTTTGAATCTTTCAATTGTCACTACAGTAAATGAATTACATTATTCTATGTCACAGTAAAATGTTGAGATAATCCTGTTAACCGTACCTCTCCTCTCGATCTTCCTGTACCCAATTGGCGGGATAAGACACTTACAAAGCTTTGAGAATTCCGCCCAACTATTGATGTCTTCTTTTTCTATCAATAACTTCATATTTGGTATGAATCGTTTGTTAAACCACGAATTAGAGACTGGCGAATTACGGAAACTACTCATACACGTCTGTGAACATACAAGAAATTGGGAAGATATTTAAAGTCCTACTCCGCAATCTCTGGGGTTGCACTTGTCTGTACGCCATAGGAAATATAACTAGAATGACCCACTCATTGCTTACTATGTACACAAACGTTACCAAATGTATTAATTTTGTGCTAATATGTTATGTATACCATTTCAAATGATTGACAGTCACTTTAAAAACCTTTAGGCGAATTGTGCTTGAAGCTTGTTCAACTACTATACTAACTTCAAAATTGCTTACAATTAAAAAATAATTTTTCAGTTTTTCTCATTATCAAATAGATCCATTACTATTGAGTGCGATTTGCATACTGGAGTCTGCTCGACGTATTTGTACATCGGTCCTACGATTAGAACCCTTTTGATCGTAGATACGACAAATGTAATTGGTATTGATTAATACATGGTATTAATTTAATAATAAAAGTAATAAAAAATGATGACAGTATAAAATAGAACAATGTAAATATATATCCATATTTAACACTGAAATTACACTTGAAAACAGCCTGTCCCATCATAAAGGGTTGCCGGATGTTTGGTGTAGCATTACGAAAATTTATCCAGCTACCTGTAACTTAAAATGAACATGTTATAAAATGTTCTGTTTCAAACTATACTACTAGTTACTACTACTAATACCATTCAAAATATATATCTGCAAATAACTAATTTAAATAAATTTGATGGCATCTTTGTTCTTTGGATTTTAGTGTAACACAGGGGTACATCTTGCATAAATTTCACAAGAGGTACGACTAACTAAGATGCATATTTGTCATTTTACCTTATTACTCTGCAGATAGACTATATATGGACACATGACCTCATTAATATGCATAACTATAATACCTCCGAAATATTACAGAAACATGTGTAATCAATGATATAATAAAAACATTTACTAATGTATAAGATTACCATATATGGTAATGTGACTTTATTATTATGTATAACTGTAATGCAAAACTATATGCAGAACTATATGCAAAAGTCTAATAAACGCCAGACACTATATGGTTGCGAAATGACAGGTAAAACTAACATTTACATAACAACGTGCAACAGGATATTCAAACTCCTGCTGCCCTTAATGCCTTTGTTTTAAACCTCGAAAGTTGTGGCTTTATCCATATATTTATAATTATTGAATAAATTAATTATTGATCGAAATCTTTGATTGTCCTCATGCATCAATAGTAAGAAATGACATAATTCCATAATTACCGAGCTCTCCGTGTTGGTTACAGCATATGGTCGTTCCCATGCCAACTTTACAAGATCCTTTGAGCAAGCAGCACTATAATTACTAAATTCAAGAGGTCCATCCACTCCGAGTATGTTCCTCATGTAAACTTCATCACTTGATATTGTTGACACGGGCACGGGAACCGTTATATCCATCAAATTGAATTTCCTTAACAACATAAGAATATTTATAACAAATAACACACATATATGTGTGTGTGTTTGTACATGATAAATAGTTGGGTCACAGTACATGGTGTGTGTTTCAGAAGATTTGATCAAGACTTGTATGTTCCTCTGATACAAAATATTAGAAGAAAATATGGTAAAATAAATAAAAATTTGCACAGTTTGGTTGGCAAGAATTGTTAAAAGGTAAGTCTGTTTAGAACAGTGTTTTCTAGCAACATGGAATTATTATGACCATGAATATTTCACTTCACCGGCAGAAAATGCAATAATAATCAAAATAGCACAATTTAACCCAAAATTACGAAAATTTTAAAAATTACTATTACGTATTACTATCTCTGTTATTGGAACTCCTCAGGGATAATATTATCTCCCTTGTTGTTGGAACTCCTCAGGGATAATATTATCTCCCTTGTTGTTGGAACTCCTCAGGGATAATATTATCTCCCTTGTTGTTGGAACTCCTCAGGGATAATATTATCTCCCTTGTTGTTGGAACTCCTCAGGGATAATATTATCTCCCTTGTTGTTGGAACTCCTCAGGGATAATATTATCTCCCTTGTTGTTGGAACTCCTCAGGGATAATATTATCTCCCTTGTTGTTGGAACTCCTCAGGGATAATATTATCTCCCTTGCTGTTGGAACTCCTCAGGGATAATATTATCTCCCTTGTTGTTGGAACTCCTCAGGGATAATATTATCTCCCTTGTTGTTGGAACTCCTCAGGGATAATATTATCTCCCTTGTTGTTGGAACTCCTCAGGGATAATATTATCTCCCTTGTTGTTGGAACTCCTCAGGGATAATATTATCTCCCTTGCTTGTTGGAACTCCTCAGGGATAATATTATCTCCCTTGTTGTTGGAACCACTCAGGGATAATAGCCATTGTTTTCAGTTTATTTACACTTAAAAACTATATTTAAAGACCAAATTGGAGAAATTATATTTACTAAAGAACATGAAAGCTTAGTTGTCTTAGAAACGGTTTTTTGTGTGTGTTATTGTGATAACAAATTATGACATTGTTCTTTTCTCTGATTGATGTACCTTGAAATGGTTTTCCTGAAGAAGCAAACAATATTTCATACGCAATGTTTGGAAAGTTATCTCCTAATCAATTTGTATTATATGATGAATACTCACAGCGCTGTATCAGGTTCGTTGACGACAATGTTTGGAGCAAGCTGCAGAAAGATGAATAAAGCTGTAGCAAAAGTAAATCCGATGATGAATCCGAAGTAGTGTCCAATGTTTCTGATTACCCAAGATGTTTTCATTATGCAACACCTCCCGCTAGAGTTAAGAGAAAGAAATGATAAACAGGACTACAACATCCTTGCGTAAAGTCAATATGTTTGATAAATTTGCAGTATAACACTTTGTGGGATAACAACAGTTCCACATTTAGAACGGAATTGTAAGCTAATGTAGAACTTCTTGTAAACACGGATTATAATATTCGATAAATTCAGATTGTAGATAAAAATATTAAATATTAAACTGAAAACAAATACAGCGTTAAGATAAGTAAACAGCAATGGTAGAAATAGAAGACAAACATCTCAGTACATACATCAATACGTATCAATACATTCATGGGGTGACCTCGATCCATATCTCAATGAATGCATCGAAATGATCAGAGGACTTCGAGTGATGCTTACACCTTGGGAATACAGTCAACGTATTCACCGTTGAGATTACATTTACCACAGGATGTAGTTTAGTTTTTTGTGATTACTGAGAGGAGGAACTGCGGCAATTGAGTTTTATATCCACGTGTAACAGATCTAGTACGATTTCCTTGGTAGTGTACTGATATAGTTCAAGATTACTTAGTATTTGTCCAAACTATGCCTTGTAATGGGGTGGGACGCATAGCTGAGCTTGAACGAGAATATATGAAATAATTTCGCTTTCAGGTTAGGATGCACGTTTCCAGTCTTTTATTGACTTATACAACCAGAGAAGTGGTAGTAAAACTTGGGGTCTCAAAAACTTAGCAGTTGTGTTGTCCCGAGTCTCCTACTAAAGGTGTTTTTATTTCATCCAGCTTTTACCCAGTCAGTCAATGAGTTTGTCCAGGGAGATCCTGGGTTACAGGAAGATCACTGGTTAATGTTACAGGATTCCTTGCAACCAACTCTCCCGAAAGGCGGGATGTCCACAGTCTCCGTCTGTACAGTTCCCACAATACTGATACAGTGGCTAAGTCCATTTATAGTTTATAACGTTTATTAAAAGCAGCTTTGGTATGTATGGGGTTTCCACAGCCATCGTGGTACTAGTGGTCCTTAGCTAGTGTATGAGTAGACAATTCCTTGATAGTTCCTCCTTCCTAACGTTTAGGATTCCGAGTTGGTCCATATGAGTCATTCATGTCCTAAACAACTGCTCCAGCTTTAAAACTACGATAAAGACTTTCCGATTTCAACATTTTGAAATTTATTCGTTTTTTAGGAAGAAAAAAAAGAAAGAAAGAAAAATGATTTTAACAAGATAATTCAGAAATTTATATTAAGAATAATTCATAACGAAATGTATTTTCTGTGCACCTATAAATAATTGTCACCGATTACACAAGAATATTCAGAAAATGTTTCTATGTTCTCTATATTTTTGCTTTTTATTTGTCTTGAATTATGACTGAAAAAAGCTGAATGAAATTACAAACTATACAGTGTGTTCAATAACTCATGTATAAACAATAACTTTAATAAATATTTTTTTACTGTATTTTTCTGCATAAAAACTAAACAATTTCACAATGTCGAAAACGAAAGGTCTTTATCGCAGTGTTGCTTTTAAAGGGACCCCCCCCCCACCATTGACTGGCTTACATGTTCACCAACAGCAATCAATATCCCCTAATGCACGACAGTACTGCGACATTACAGAAACTCACACTACTGCATACTTTGACATACACAGTGTGTCCATGACCACAAGATCGCTATCTCACAGTCTGGTTTCCTAACATAAGAATACATACTCCTTCTATCACAGTGCATATTCTGTTTCGTTATCAACTATGATTAAATAAATCAGTTGGATAAAGAAACAAAAGTAGAAGATAGATGAAATACAAACAGAAGATAATCAGTTTTTAAGGGGCACGCAGATCTCACCCCTCCATACAAAATTTAGTGCCGCCGCCTCTGCATGACACGATTAGCTTATCTCAAAACAATGGTTTTACATTGTCTCAGCGCAGTTCTGTCTGCCATATGACGCCAATCTCTCAGGCAGAGTTCTATTTCTAGAAATATAAATAGATAGATAGATAATTTATTTGACACAATACTTTGTATCTACAATACATTGTCCATGGTCAACAACAAAGAAACAAGTTTTAGAAATAATTTAAAATGGAATGAATAAACTTGGCAAGGCTATTGGCAATAAAGCTATCTTTTGTTCCAAGCAATTGCCCAATACCTTGGCTTGAGAGCTCGCTATTAGTGGAGTCATGACAGAGAATTTATTTATTAAAAACAGCGCGAGCTTTGGAAATGTCACTGTTGTTACAAGTGAAAATAACATGAACTTCATCACCAATAGCCTGCTTGTCACAAAGTGTACAAAGTCTTTCCTCTGGAGGTATTCCTTTAAAACGCAGCCTTTCAATTGGTAATGAATGGGCAGAAATTCTAAACTTAGTAAAGCTGATTGTGTGTTATAAATTCATACGTATGTTTGAATTTATTGTAGGTCCGTAATTTATTATTTTCAGGTTTATTAATAGTTGGCAACCAGACTTTGTTTTGGTAAATCTGTTTTATAATAGTTTTGAATTCCTTTGAGTCAGTTGAATCATCACTAATTTTTGTTATATTTATTAATTTGGTAATAAATGACGACCATGTATTACCACTCATATTGTTGTCTACAGTGAATGCACAGTGCAGTAGGTGATTTTTTCCCAATTGATTTTATCCTTTCATAATAATCGAACATTTGGGTACATATGTCAATAACAATTGGGTAGCTACCAAGTTCAGCTCTAGTAGCCAGGTTGCTTGCTTTTTTATTGACACCCAAAATTTGTTTGCAAAATCTGATGTGGAGTTGTTCAAAATTGGTCTTATCATTGAAATGTTTTTCAGTGAAACTTCAAGTTCAGGATTACCATTGGAATTGCCATTTAGACTCTGAACAAACTGTTTCACTTCAGAATCGGACTCTATATGGTGATCTAACCGCAAGGAACTCTGGGAAGGAGAATGATATGACGCCTTACTAGCCGATTTTTGGCTAAAATAGCGCTCCGCCGCCTCTTTACACTAGTGTTTATACACGGAACAATTTAAGTTGCTTTTTAATCACACATTTAAGTGAAATTTGTTCAGTGAGTAAAATATTAATGTCATACATACTAGTAATTTAATCACATAATAACATTGGTGTTTTATGCTCGAAATTTTCTGCGTAGTTTAAGATTTCAACTAGCTTGAAATAGAACATCTTTGAATGCAATAAAATCATGCGTAGAACGCCTTTCGAATCAGGAACCAGCAGCATTTTCACCGCCTGGTAACCATCACGGTGAAAACAAAGGCCGAAAACTATCAGAAAATGCTACTTTGGAATAGTTGTTCCCGTGAATAGTGTAAAACGATTACCCTTGCATGTGCAACATATATAAATTTGGTTGTTCAGAATTACTTCAAAGTTGAGTTTGTGTTTTCTCGAATTTAGCTATTTTCACCGGCTCTTCGACCGGCGTTCCACAGCAGCTCGGGCAGAGTCCATAGAAATACATGGTACAGTGGTGCGCGTTTTAGCAATTTCACCGTGATAGTTACCAGACGGTGAAAACGTCTCGATGCTCGCCCTGAGAATCAAGTATTTTCATGTATTTGGGTTATAACGGTGTAAGCACATTATTATACAACACTGTTGATTATATGGTTTTATGACACAAAACTTGAAGTGCTGCAATGGCGACAACATGGCACGCGAATCTTTCACGGCCCATAGACATAGAACACGTGCAGCATTGGCGACTGAGATTCGAAATGGTGAAGAATTATAATAAATTCAGAAGCCAACTTCTACGACATGATTGAACTGATAGTGATCACTCACCTGTAAGATGTCATGCCAGTTTTTAAGGATTGCAGAAGGTCAGCAATAGTCTACTGCTTTGACTCGCTGCACAAACTGTTCCAAGCCCGATAGACGTATACTTTTTGGGTCGACACACTTAGTATTCACTTAAAATTGTATGCATAAAAAAATAGTTGAATCCATAGTGGAATAACATACTATAGTTACACTCTGAAACACACTGGAAAATATGACTGCGTGTCTTTAGTATGTCACGTTCGTAAATGATTTACTTTGCATGAATAGGTAATGTTGACACAGCGAAGTGTGGGAGTACATAATGACATCGCGGTATCTTGTAGCTCGAAATAGTAATAATAACAATAATTGTAATAACACATGACGAGATCCAATGCAGTGTTAGTGTCTCATAAATTCACTCCATACAATTGCCGCTTCTCTTTCTTTTTGACAAGACTACACTACTTATTGTGTGTTCTGTGTCAGTGTGAATTGTCAGCTGCGTCAGTGATAACAAAATTGGACATATGATATACTACAACTGTTTGTTCAACATTCAACAACTACATTACTCGATATATTATATATGAAGGTGACATGTCTCATTCTGGGTATTATAACCTTCAGTTCCATTTACTTGTATTTGTTCTTATTTGAGTATTACGCTCAGCGCAACAAAGGCATTCCGTCAGCTTTATCAATATTTATAAATTCCAATGGCAGTTAATTACAACCAACGAGCACAGTGTACAACATGATTTGAAAACGTTCCAATGTTATTCAATCGGCCAATTGAAACCCCTTGTTTTATTTGGAATAGTGAAATATATAAATATTTATAAATGAAGGAAATGCAATCAAATACAGTAATGACAGATAGCTAAATGCTTACGTCGTATTGGCTGGGAAGTTTGAAAACATATCTAGTACCTAATGAATAAACTCAACACAACGAGAAAAAACAAACGCGTTGTAAAAATTAAATTAAACTCGTTGTACAGAGAAAGGTAATATTGTTACAGTGAGAAAAACATACCAGTTAGAGCCAGAGAAAACTCCATAAGACGTGATTTGAAGAAATTGTATGTTACGGCATTAATATGCATTGACTGGCAATATAAGAAACCGCAGAACCTGTTTCTGCATCGTATGCCTTGAATGTGAGACTAAATCACTAAATCAGACCAATTACTTCAATATTACACTT